ACTCCAGTGCTCAGGTCCCACCGCGATGGGCGCCGTTTAAGAACCTGTGGAGAAAAGAACCGTTCAGGTGCATCCACAAGGTAGATCTGTCGAGAGAACTGCAGGTGATGGCAGCTCATGGGGCTTCATTACCTTTGAAATGCCCTGAAACCTTTAATGACACTGGAGGGGAGCTGAGGTTTTTCAAAGAGGGGCTGAGAAAACTCTGAATTAATTGGGAGATTTAATGTTGGAAAGCACAAAGTTAAAGCGAATCACAGCCCAGGATCCCACTAGGGCTTCCTGGTGGGAGGTGCTGGCCTGTTCCCACATATGCGTTAGACAGGAGCTGGGACAGCTTGCCCTTCGACACACAGTATCCAGGGGCCGCACAGCCCTTCGCAGGAGGTGGAAAACCCACCTCCCTGCTTCCCACGACTACCCACACAATAGATACCGGGGCGCTTTTTGAGGAGAACCAGGGACAGCCCCATTGTCCCGCTCTGTGACACACAGATCCTGTGCCCAGGCCATGGGAGAGAAGTGGCTGAATGCAGGATGTCTGCCTAGCACGGACCCTCTCTCTGAGGTGGGAAAGCCTTGAGCTTGTGATGTGGCCCCAGCACCTCACACCCTCGCGGATGGATGCAATTCCTGGGAGAAGGCCTGTAGCTCAGGTCCAGACTGGCCCCATCTGCAGCAGTCTCTTCCCAGCAGTCTTGCAGCTGCCCAGGTTTCCACTGGAGCATCTCACAGTGCAGTGCCTCACATCTGGAAATTACCCAAAAGCTCCTGCTCACAGCAACAAGGTTTGGCACCGTGGGATGTCCAGAATGCACTGGTGCAACCGTGGCTGTGGTACCAGAACAGTTCTTTTCTCTACAGGTTCCTGTACTGCGCCCATCACCATGGTGTCTGAGCACCAGCGCAGCTGGAATGTTACCCAACATGTCCAACTGCGCAGCGTGCTACAATGTAAGGGAGCTGCTGTCCTCTCCTTTGAGCTGCCTCAGTGAAACAAGGGGCAGAATGAATAGCCACCTTCAACAGAGACTATTTATCCCCACTCCCCGGCCCCAGGGAGGAAAGAAAGGGCTACAGAGGGTTTCCTGCAAAAGACAGGGTCGTTCAAGGCCAGCTGGGTGAGCACGGAGGGAAGCTGGGCCCCGCTCAACCTTGTAGCTCATGAAAAGTCGTTAGAGACAAGCAGACGCGGTGCCGTGAATGTTCTGCAGTGTTTTCACCCAATTCACTTGGCCTGTGGCTGCACATGCCTCTGGGGTTCACGTGCTGCGAATGTGCCAGGGAGACCGACAGCAGGAATTTATTATCAGCGTTGTTATTCTTTGCATCGTGATAGCACTACAGGCCAAGAGCCCAAGGCCCCATGGTGCTAGGTGCTGTACAACAGAACAAAGGGTCTGTCCCTGCCCCGACGGCACCACAGTCTCAGCAATCTGTTGGCCTGTCTGCGGCTTAGTGATTTCTGGTCTCTAACTGGAGCCACCTGAAAGAGGCCTGATTTTCATAAAGCACCGAGCACCTGCGCTCTGAAAATCAGGGCCCTTGCATGGGTCTCCGTTGGGGCCCCCCACAGCTGCCTCTGTGGGGATTTGAACCCAGGGTGCCTCCGACTGTAGACAGTTTAAAGCTGGTGCTTAGACCACTCAGACCCAGCGTGGCAGAATACGGGCTTCTCGTCCCTGTGTGAGTGCCTCTGCACTTCTTTAACGGCCCCTCGCTTGGAGGATTTTTATCCTCCGCAGGGAATTTGGTGTCATCTCTAAAGGGACACACACACACACACACACACACCCTTGACAGCGCTGGGTTTGTGCTAAGGTGGCTCCTGGTGGTGCCTTTGCATTTCTCGCCCGGCTGCCGATCAGCCTGTGACACTCATTGCTGTCGGAAGTGTGCAGTACATGACGCTTTCCTGCTGCCGTGGAGGGTCGATTTCCGTTCTCTCCAGCCGAGGAGCAAGAGCAGCGGCAGCAGCAGCAGCCTGAAAATCCATCGGTGAGTGTTGGCTGTACACGGGGGTCTTTGGAGTGATACAGGAGACAGGCTGGTGCCGAGGGCTGAAGCCGCCTGCTTCCCCTGGGTGCCGGGATCAGGGTGGAGAGCTTATGCCGGTTGCCACATTTGGATCCCTCCCAGGGGGGCTGTTTATTTCTCTTATTGTCGTTAGCAGCTTTGAAGGGATCTAAAAGCAACAGCACCTCCTCATCCTGCCTCCCCCGCTGATGGCGCCCAGGCCCCGGTTCGTGATCCCTGGGGGGGCCGTGTGTGCGTGCCTGTGCTGATTGCCTCTCTGATTTCATTCACGGGGGCCGCACTGCACAGGGAAGGGTTTTGCTCAGGTCCATCTTAGGGCTGAGATAGGCAACACCTTACGACACACACACAGAGCACAACAATGTCCCCCCACCCCTTTGAATAGCCAAGGGCTGGGCGGGCTATGATGCTGTCAGATTGTACAGGGCGCTCTGCCATAGCTGGGTATCCAGGCTAGCTGTAGAGCCATGTGGGGATGTGCTGGGGCATTGAATCCAACAGTCTCATAATCCCTGATCACATCTGTTCAGTTGCCCCCTCCCTCCCTCTGCATAGATTATCATGCACATTAAAAGCCTGGTCCCTTCCTCCTCTCAAGATAGCTCTTTCCCCGAAGCTGCTTACAGAGCTGGCCAGTCCAGGGAGCTGTGTGATTTGGGGAGAAGGAACCAGCAATTGCTTTCTTCAAGCTGAGGGAGGGAAGGGGAAGGACGTGGAACCCCTGCAGACATCCCACAAGGCAGGGCTTTGGGGTTCTTGCATCCCGCCGCCTCTGTGACTCCCCCTCCATCTCTGTGGCAGGATCATTCAGCACAGCTCTCTTCTGTGCCTCTGGGCACTATGCATCACACACACACACACACACACACACACACACACACACACACACACACAC